CGGTTTCTGCAAATCAAACTCAACGTTCTACAGCAAGCGCAACCCATTAACTCTCCCGCCTCACCGTTCCCTCGACATCACGACCTTCGTCGCCTCTCTGCCTCACCGCGGCACCACCGCCTTCATCGACGCCGCCACCGGAAACCGCCTCAGATTCTCCGATCTCTGGAGAGCCATCGATCATGTATCCGACTGTCTCTCAGACCTCGGCGTACGGAGAGGCGACGTCGTCCTCATCCTCTCCCCGAACTCCGTCTTCTTCCCCATCGTCTGTCTCTCCGTCATGTCCCTCGGGGCCATCGTCACCACCGCGAATCCTCTCAACACCGCCGGCGAGATCGCTAAGCAGATCGGAGATTCGTCCCCTGTTCTGGCCTTCACCACGAGTCAACTCGTTCCCAAACTCACTGGCGGCGACATCCCTGTCGTTCTCATGGAGACTGATCCTCCTGCGGAGGAGACGCGCGGTGGAGTCAGGATCGTGGGGGATTTAGCGGAGATGATGAAGAACGAGGCGGAGCGACCGAGTGGGAAACGGAGAGTCAGGGACCGAGTCAACCAGGATGACACGGCGATGCTGCTGTATTCATCGGGAACGACCGGACCAAGCAAGGGAGTGATGTCATCTCACGGAAACCTAATCGCACACGTGGCGAGATTCATAGTGCAGCCATTGGAGAGAGAGCAGATCTTCATCTGCACAATCCCGATGTTCCACATCTTCGGATTTTTGAACTTTTGCTTGGTCTCAGTAGCGATGGGATTCACGGTGGTTCTCCTGCCGAGATTCGAGCTCGACGACATGTTAATGGCGGTAGAGAAGTACAGAGCGACGACACTGCTTCTGGTTCCTCCGATCGTAGTGGCGATGATCAACCGAGCAGATTCGATCAGATCGAGGTACGATCTGAGATCCCTGAGAATGGTGAAATGCGGCGGAGCTCCGCTGAGCAGGGAGGTTGCGGAGGGGTTCGTGGAGAAGTATCCGACTGTGGAGATCCATCAAGGGTACGCGTTGACGGAATCGAACGGCGCAGGAGCAGGGATAGAGACGGCGGAGGAGAGCCGGAGATACGGATCGGCGGGGCCGTTGTCGCCGGGCGTGGAGGCGAAGATAGTGGATCCTGATTCGGGTCGGATCTTGGGAATCAATCAGACTGGCGAGCTTTTGCTACGGGGACCTTCCATTGCCAAAGGTATAAAAGAAAATGTGAACATTTTTTTTTAATTATAAGGATATTAATTCTGTACGGATATGTACCATCGGTTATTATAGAATATATAGCATTTGATGTTTATAATTTTAAATTTTGTTTTGTGTTTTTTAGTATTCGATTTGAATTTGATATATTCGGTTTTATAAAAATATTACCGTTCGAGAGATTTTTAGATGTTTCAGTTTGAAAATGTTCTCTAATAAAAATTATATGATAATACTTTAGGTTGATTTATTTATTTTAATTTATAAAAAATTATAATAATTCAATGTTTATATTAATTCTATTCTTATTAAAAATTTATTTTTTGAAAGATAGTAGTTGGTTTTTTTGTTATTTGTTATCTTATTAGATTTGGTTAAGGAAAATCGTTTCTTATTAATTTTAGATCGAATTTGATTTACAGATAATTATATGACAGAATATCCGCTGCTAATAAAAAAAAAATACAAACCATATTTATGGTACGTTTTTAGTTTAAGGGTTTGGTCGGAATTGATATTTATTTTGAAATATTGTATAAAGGTTATTTCAAAAACGAAGAAGCTACGAATGCGGCAATTGATTCCGAGGGGTGGCTTCGAACCGGAGACCTTTGCTATATCGACGGTGACGGCTTTATTTTCATCGTCGATCGTTTGAAAGAACTCATCAAATACAAAGGGTTTCAGGTATATTAAAGTAACGAAAATGTTAATCGCATTAAAATATTTTAAATCCAAGTTAATCTTGATACTAATTTAATTAAAGAAATAAAAATATAGGTTCCTCCGGCTGAACTAGAGGCTCTGCTACATTCTCATCCGGATATTCTTGACGCTGCAGTTATTCCGTAAGTTTCATAAATTCCAAATGATTTAATCTCTAACTATATGATAAAATTATCGTTTTATGCTCACTAATAAAAATAATGGGAAAATCGAATTTTAATATATGAATTAATTGGAAAATTTTCAAATAAATACACAAATTTTAATTTTTTTTTCACAAAAAAAAAAACACAATCTCTTTTAATTTCTACGATAAAACACCTAAACTTTTATACAATTTTCAAAAACCCACCATATCATGGTAGTTTTTGCGAGTCATTTAAAAGTTCAGAGTTCAATTGTATGCCGATTTTTGGAAATTGTATAAAAGCTTATGATTTAATTTCATTGTTTTTAAAAAAGTTCAAGATTTAATATATGAATTAGGAAAGGTTCATCTATTTATTTAGAAATTTTAAAATTCTTATATTTATTTGATTTTTTAACAAAATCATGTAATGTATTAGTATGCGATTTTCCTATAAAAAAAATAGGGGTAATCGCATAAAAATACCCAAACTTTTACAAAAATCCCAAATAAATACCTCAACTACAAAATTGTCATATAAATACCTGAACTTTTCAAAATTTCCACATAAATACCCAAACTTTTAAATTTTTTCCAAATCAAACAAATGCAACTGCTGACTCACCAAAAAAACTGCTGACTCAGCAAAAAAAACTGTTGACTCAGCAAAAAACTGATGACTCATCGTTCAAAAATATTATTAAATATCCAAATATTCATCTACATGTATTTAAATTAATATATACATATAAATTCACATGTATATACAAATATATATATATATATATATATATTAAAAATAAAATTATTTATAATTAATAAAACACATATACACATAACATTTAATTATTAAAAATAAGAATGCATTATTATTATTTTAAAATACTAATATATTTACATAATATATATATATATTTAATTATAATTATTTTTATGCATTATTATTATTATTTTTAATAATAAATTTAATTATAATTATTTTTATTGTAATATATATGCATTAGTAATGATATATATATATATATATTTATTGTAGTTATGTATTTGTATATATATGTGAATTTATATGCATATATTAATTTAAATACATGTAGATGACTATTTTGATATTTAATAATATTTTTGAATGATGAGTCAGCAGTTTTTTGCTGAGTCAACAGTTTTTTTTTGCTGAGTCAGCAGTTGCATTTGTTTGATTTGGAAAAAATTTAAAAGTCTGGATATTTATGTGGGAGTTTTGAAAATTTTAGGTATTTATATGACAATTTTATAGTTCGGGTATTTATTTGGGATTTTTGTAAAAGTTCGGTTATTTTTATGTCATTATCCCAAAAAAATACGATGTTATGTTTTGCATGAGAAGATTTCCGGACGGACAAGCAGGACAATATCCGATGGCATACGTCGTGCGTAAGCATGGGAGCGATTTAAGTGGCGAACATGTCATCGACTTCATTGCTAAACAGGTCGCCTCTTATCATAATCACAGCCCTCCATTTGATTCCATATCATTTTTTTTTTATTTTTTTTTTGGTAAATTATATCTTTTTAATTTATATATAATATAAATCCCACAAGTCAAATCATGTTTAGATATATATTGTCGGCGTGTTCTGCTATTAGGTTGCATGCAAGATGGATCCAAAGTACATATTTTAGAAAATATATTATTTTTTGTTATTTTTGGTGGTGATATAATATTATTGTCGTAACCAGGTGGCTCCATATAAAAAGATTCGGAGGGTGGCGTTCATAGATTCGATACCAAAGAATCCATCCGGCAAGATTCTTCGGAAGGACCTTATCAAACTTGCGACATCTAAACTGTAAACAAATTTCAAAGAATGATGAAATTGTAATTTGCCCAAAAAAAAAGAAATAACGAAATGCATGTGTATATTTGATTGTATAATAATGGCAATGATCTTTAGATCATCTACATTGTGTTTAAACATTATCTTTGAATCATTTCTGTTATGTTATATTTAACTGGATTGGAGGTGTCAATTTTAACACGAGGCACAAAATCCGGCCAGAGTCCGTCCGAAAAATGATCGGACTCGGACTTGAATTGGTTCAATCCGAAATATCGATTTAAAAAAATAACTATTATAAAAAAATGATTCAAATGAAAAAAAATTATATATATTGTAAATATATATATATATATATATATATATATATATCCACTAGTTGATGGTCCAATAATTGATAAATGATAAAGTCATTTCAAAATTTTGCGTTCGATTTCACTATGGAGAGGAGGGAGCACAGTTAATTGTGTACGGTGACTCGGGACCAAAGAGATTAAGGGGGCCGAAAACCTAATGAACATCCTAATTATATATACTATAACTCATTATGATCGGAGATGAACCGACTCATTTGATTTCATTTGATTTCATAAGTCCATTCTACAAAATTTATATATACTATAAAAGCCACAATTCAAATTTTTTGTTATATAATGTGATTTTGATAGCGAGTCCTCGGGATTGTAACCAACACGACAAAACTTTACCTAATACAGACTGCAATGCAATAATTAAATTAATCCGAAAATGGACAATATTAGAAAACCAAAAGATTTGGTTGCAAAACATCTTCGTTTAGAGTGTTCTATCTGGAATTTGAATTTTTCATCTAGAAACGATTAAGGCACATTCCGGACTTGTTACGGTGGATATTTCGTTATTCAAAATCGAATCGAACAACATATAATTGTATTTATTGGATATAACTTTTGCAAAAATCAAATAAATTGAAACGAAAATAATCAACATATCGAATGAAAACGAAATTGACATTACAAAATGAATATTTCTTTTTTTTTTAAAATAAAAGTATGAATTAATCGAAAATTGATGTGATATAGTGTTTTTTTTATATAATCAAAATAATTAGATACAAGAATAATCGAAATTAAAAAAAAAAATAAGACAAGTTATCGAAGTTGGTGCATCATATAGATTCTATATATTGAGATGGTTGAATGAGTTATCGACATTCTGTGGACTGAAGCTTCACAAGCGGTATAAGTTATGATTGCGAACCTATCTATACATCTCATGCACATATTTAGTCATACTTGATAAATAATATAAGCTTCAACACGTTATATAAAACTATATATAAATTTATTTGGGATATGAAATTATATGAACACATAACAGATTGTCCATGGAACTAGATGAACACATGCATCGCGATCAGTCCGACGAGCACTGCGGGATCTTCACATCGTCGCTTTCAATCTCTTTCAGTGTCACACTCGAGGCATTTTCCTGATAACACACCAAAGAACACCACATATTCAAAACCATATATATACACACGTGTGTATATATATATAATACCACAGTTGGTGATCTAGTAGCTGAAAGGTAACAAAGTCATCTTCAAAGTTCTGGATTCGATTCCACTGGTGGGGAGAGTGATGTAATTTTTCTGGATCAAAATGACTCATATACAAAGGTTGATCCCGGATCTAAAGCGAATATAGTCGGGACGAAAACCCAGGGAACTATCATGTTTATCAATATATATATATTATAACAGATATGAACAAGTATAGTGGATCTTACTTCAGAAACAATGCATTCGATATGCACGACGAATTCGCAGTCATCGCATGCGTAACAAGGATGCCGAGAGTCTCTGGGTTCTTCGCAGGTATCACAGTAGTATCCTCCATAGTCGATACATTCTTCCTTGAAAGAGAGCCAATGCACATGTTGTTCATGTCTGGCGGTGCTCGGTATCCATTTTGCTTTACGAAGACATCCGGCATGGAAATAGAGACTACACTTGAGGCATCGGCAGTACGAATTCACCGCCTCCTCTCCGCAAGAGGCGCATATAAGAATCAAGCGTGGATCTTCAAGCACACCTTTAGAAGGTTTGTCGTGAACGTAATAGAATTGATGGGGATGACCTCTGCATCTGAAGGGACGAGCCAAAGAACTTCCGCATTCGATATGGTAATAAAGTATACCTCTTTCTGAGTCCTCAGCTTTATAGCCGATGAACGATCTTATTGGATACCCACACGCAAGACACTGTGGTACTTCGGGGAGTTGCCGCAAATGACCAAGACGAAGAAGGTGATGAGGAGCAACGGGATGTCCCTCGACCAAACCCGGCCATTCCGTACAAGTTTTGTGGAAACCCCAGAAATCACAACACCGTCTGCAAAAATATGATGGACCTAATAGTTCTTCTCCGCACATGTTGCATTGTTTCCGTAGATCTGTCCGGAATCTCGCGAGGGTCAGCTCGTGCTCTTGGTGGAGGGGATGCTTTAGAGTCTTTCCCACGCGATGTTCATCGTAGAAAGTTTGTTCAGCTTCACTTAGCAACGCACATTTCACATCTATGAAGAATTCACATAACCGACAGTGGAAATGAAATCCCTTGGACGCATCCCTGCAGATATCACACACAGCTAAGGTTGAATAAAGACGTCTAGAGAGATGGAGCTTGTGAGCCGGATGAAGAGGATGGCCGTCTAATGTGTGAGGCATCGCCGCACATTCCTCATGAACCCAAAATCCAAGACGGCCGTCGTATGCGCAGGCTTGACCATTGATTTGAAGATTACACATTCCGCAGAGTTTATTATTCCCATTGTGAGGATGATCATGAACCGCTTCCTTTATCTGCTTAATCTGATTTGACAATATCAATGGATACGAGATCACAATGCATGCATGCATACACTGATATTATAAATACTCATTATTACAATATAATATAATATTTTCCTACCTCTTTATCACGTGAATGATTGGAATCTTGTATTTGCCATGTTTCATTATGGTTCTCTGGGCACAAGAATGACAACAAATGCTCAAATTCATCTTCCTATATAATTAATTAAAAATAAAAATACAAAACAAAAGCATGTTACTCTTTTTAACCGATATCTAAATATATACATAATTTTTAAATTTTTTATTTAAATTTAAAATAAATGTAAACTTCTTCTACGAATTAAAATCTCAACATACACACAAACAAATATAACACAATACGTAATTAAAAAGAATAGAAATACAGAGACTGACCTTGGATAGAACGCATTCGAAATGGGCATAGAACTCGCAGAGGTTGCATCCGTAAACATAAACGTTGGCTGCTTCCTTGATCGTTCCCTCACATATGTCACATGGATATTCGCTCTGAATGTATGCATATGGTATTATTCTGTCCATGAGATTAAGTGTGTGTTCATGACGCTCGTGTTTCCACTCTCTCGGTACAGAAATACACTCGACGTGAAAAAAGTCATCGCATTCCACACAACTCAGACCGTGATTCATGAACGGTTTTCGACAGACGCTACATCGAGAGGTCGAGGGGACGCCGATGAGAACGCTTACAAGACTATGTTTGTGGCATTTGAGCTTTATCGGCCGGAGCCTTGAAATGGCGCACTGAGAATGCAACGCAAACTCGCATTCACCGCAATTATAAGTCGTTAGGTTTCGTAAATTGAAATCTTGCTTGCAAACCCCGCACCTTATAAGTCTAGATTCAAGGGTGAAGCCGGGACGAGTGAGGGGGTGGTGAGGGTGCAAGGGATGGTGCATGACTCGAGGTGTGTCGATGCACGACTCATGTATGAAGTTGTAGCATATAAGGTCAGGACAAGCATAACCAGTACCCCACGTCGGAAGCTCGCATATCTTGCATTCGTAAGGAAACTTTTCCACCACAAGACTATACTCCCTAAACCTGCATCTCACGAGCTGGTGCACATCGCTCCAATGGCAGAATTCCTCGTTACTTTCCCACCCGAGCGGAATCTTGCACGTTATCGATATGCCACACTCAACGCACATGCTAAACTCGCAATGGTCACATCTGTAACGCCCACGGGGATAGGATATATAATGACACCCTTTGCATATCAGAAAATACAAACCAAAGTATTTAATTGTTATTTTTTTCGGTTTAGGGAGGTCGGATAACCTCGGGGTTACCGTTAGCCTTAGAATGTGGCTTTGATGGTGGCCGTGAGGAACTTCTTGGGGGATTTTGAAGCAATCTCCGCATATACTCGCATCGCATTCTATGCAATGATACACCGCAGGTTTTGGCAAAACACAGAACTCGCAGTTTACTCCATGCGGATACCCTAACGGCTCTGTCTGGTGGCCATGTCTCGAAACCAAAGGATTAGCCATCTTCCAAAAGAAGGACAGACAAGGTTATGAAAGAAAAGAAGTGTACACCTTATATAGCACACGAAGAAGGAGATGGGGAATCAAAAGGTTGTAAACTTTGGATAAATTTCTTTCTTGAGGCTTGGTTAATCAATTCATTCTCTACTTCCTTTTTAACACAATCGGCGATCAATTATATTCCGTGGATAAATAGTTCACTATTAAAATTAAAAGGTAAAATTGAATATTAATATACGAATTTGTAAATAATCTCATATAAATACATAGATTATGATTTTTTTTTTTTTAAAAAAACTAGAGATTTCTTCTTAATTTCCGCATTAAAACCTAAATTTTTTAAGGGTTTGAAAAGTCTTTAAAAATTTAGGGTCTAATTTCATGTCACTTGAGGATTTATTTTCATTGCTTTAAAAAGTTGAGAATTTAATATTGGAGTTAGGAAGAACTTCTATATAAAATTTTGAAATTCCTTTAATATGTAAACGTGCTGCCATTCCCCCCCCCCCCCACAAAAAAA